CTTCTACGAGTGGTGATGATAGTAACAAATATATTTTGCTCTTTGAGTAATGAGTTCCATTTTTAATCTTCACCATCTTTAACAAAGATAAAAAATCGAATAATTATCTATCTACCAAAATGTAGTGGGCGTAGATACTCTAAATTTCATTCTTTAACTTGCAATGAGTACTGTCTTTACCATAAAGGCACGCAAGGGCCGTGCCTAGGGCCCCCAACCTCAGAGGGCCCCCGAAGGAATGACAATTTCTACGGCGTATGTACCGCTCCGTTATATGTTCCGCAGCAACTGGCTGCCCCGCAACTTGTAGCGGATTCGGTTCCCGCACGTAGCCTCAGGTTTTTGTGATTCACAAATTGTTATTTCGGATCTGAGAGTAATGTGAACTTGTATATATATGTTTCGAAATACCGTGTGACGTCACGATTTTCTTCATTTTATACGTAGCGATAATATACCGACCTTCCACTCTTAAAATTGACTTTTTTTCTATGACAAAATAAAAAACACACGCCTGATATTTTTACATTATCTGACAGACTAATTAGATTTTTAATTTTCATACCGTATCATTCCAACTTAACTTTCTGTGCATCGTACTACAATGTGCCAATCACAAGACATCCACACTTGTACAATACTACAAATCATTGACATTCACATGAATGTTATGTACACAGATAATAAACTAAATTGTTTTATTGTCTCAAACAAGGGATTTTCCTTAATTTCTCCGCATTATTTCGATCATAAAACCATCTTATATACTGTTCGTTACTTGTCACACAATTACTGTTAATTTTGCTTAAAGTAGTATTTATTCTGTGATTTTTTTATATTATTTGATGATTGTCACACCACTTTATTGGGGTGGTTTAATTCTTATTGTACAGTTAGAACAAGAATGTGGTATGTAGATAAGGAGAATAAATATTGATTTAGTATAGAGACAGACCTTTGGTTGGTTACTGAACTGACCAGTGATTTGGTTATAAGAGAATTGACTTTCATTGAGAAACCTAATGAGGTTGCCACTTCAGAGTCGAACAGGGGATCCATATCAGATATCAAAGGTTGAAGAAACAACATAAAATCACGCCTTTTTATCCCCGAAGAGGTAGGCGTAGGCAGAGGTGCACATTACGGCTTTACGGCACTTAATGCTGTACAATGTACAATGTAACACCCACATTTTTCTTTTCTTTTCTATTTTAAGTATGAGTAGGTTTTTTTTAAATCTCAGTAGTAGCACGGTGTCTGGAAATGTGCCCGGTATATGGCAATAGGCTCACACCCTATTACATGGGACTCATAACATAAATAGTAAAGATTAAAGAAAGTTTTGATCAAATAACTATAGAACCTAAAAAGAACATATTGATTACAATCTCAGCCTTTAAAACCTAGACTACCCTGTTATTATTTGTATTAGAACTTAGGACTAATCGGTCAATACATGGCTGTAACAACTATATATTGATAAAGCTGAGCCTATCAGTATGCCAAGGAAAATTGCATTATCTATATGAGTGTTGCCTTGTGTTTAGTGGATAGGTATTTCCCGAAGGGTACAAAGAGTATAAATAAATATTTCTATTTATAAATTTAGGAGCATCTAGCATCATCCGTTTCATACCGAACTATGTAGTAACTAATATTTTAGAGGTCGATTTTACCTGAAAACTAATGTCTTATACTTAAATTACATTTTTAAAGGTCTTGGTGGCCCGGAGGTTTAAAATGCTCGCTTCTCATGCATGAGAGTGCGGGCTTGAAACCTACCAATGTGATATTTTCCGAGTAATCTGGGAGTCTTCCAGGCCCGAGTGAAGAGATTGCTTATGGGACGACGTGCTCCATACGATGGACGCAACGCAACGCATCATCGTTGGCCGAGTGACCTAGAGGTCCTCGGATTAGATTCCCGGGTCGGGCAAAGCAATACTGGGTTTTAAAAAAAATCTCAGTAGTAGCACGGAGTCTGGTATTGTGCCTGGACAATACAATACAGTACAGTACAATACAGTACAATAGGCTCACATATTACATGGAAATCATAGTGAAAAGTGGGTGTTACGTTGTGGTATTAAGAGCCGTAATGTGCACCTCTACCTACCCCATCGAGGATAAAAGGCGTGATGATGTTATGTTATCGTCTTTTGTAGATTTCACATAGTAATCATGACGTGATACTATTTTTCGACAACAAAATTTTCATGGACATGTTTTTCATTCTAGTTAAGGTAACTGAATTTGGGACCTTGTTCTAGAATCCTTATTAAATCTTAATGTACCGAAATCAACTGCAAGATTACTTTTCAGGAAATATTAGAGCGATAATGAAAATCTTTGTTTGTGTACGTAATTCAGGTCAACGTTCATCGTACTTGCTAGGTATCGATTAATCGATTGTTGTTAATCGCATTGATTTAACGATAATCGACTTTTAACTATTAACTGATTAAGATTTGTATCTTTACATGTCTGAAAGAAGAGAAAGTGGTGAAGAAAACACATTGATTCAATTGTGGGTAATGGTGTGGGTTACATACAGGGTGTAAACGGAACGCTCCCGAAAAACGCTGAAAATTATGGTCAAAAACCAGTTTTAATTTCATGAAAGTAAAGAATTAAATGTTTCCTTTATGTAATAATTGGCTCAAGGCTGACTTTGTATGAATAAGATGTAAACAACAACGATTAAAATTTTAAAAACTATTATTTTTCCTGTACATACTGTACCTGTATATACTGTAGCTATTGTTCAGTGTAAGACTTTTTACCGACTTCAAAAAAAGGAGGAGGTACTATGTTCGGCTGATTGTTTTTGTTTGTTTGTTCGCGCATAACTCTGCCGTTTGTGAACCGATTACCAAAGTTCTTGTTTTTTTTGAAAGGTTATACTCCCGAGATGTTCCCATTTCCATGAGGTCATTATGTAAAACTTTAATATGTAACTGTTTTTTTGACCCTAAATAAATAAAAAGCCGAAAGCCTTTGTCATTACTTTATTATATCCTCCAAACCCTATGACTTTTTAAAAGTACTTATACCTAATAGCACGGTTGGCGCGCAACGTGGAGCTAGGTCGATACCTGCACGGGGCAATACCTTGTGTGATCCGCAAATTGTTTTTCTGGGTCTGTGTATGCAAAATTGTATGTTTGTGAACGCACCCACGACACAGAAGAAGATCCTTGTGGGACAAGGTTTAATTAAAAAAAGTACCTAAGCTTTAAAAATTGCTCTCGTATTCTTTAAAAAGTGTTTAAGTAATTTTTTTTAAGACAACGTTGCCCCACACTAGTGTTATCTCCTGTGTCGTGGGTGCGTTTACAAACATACTATACAAGTTCACATTCACATGACACCCAGACCCGAAACAATAATTTGTGGATCACAATAATTAGTGGAAAGTGTTGTTCCCTGCGGGAATCGAACCGCGACACGTTGCACGGCAGCCGGTTGCCCAGCCACCGCACCAACCGTGCAGTCTAACTATAATAATATTTCTTTTTGTTTGACAACGCAACTTAGTTTCCGTTCATACGGATGTATATTGCGTATGTTTAATTATTTCCGTATAAATTCATGATTCGGCTAAATTACATGGAGTTAACAGATTTGATCTCTCCACGCATGCTCGCCGATTGAGGGTGCTTACATAACGAACATTCTTTTGTTTTGGCCTGCCCTAATGAGAGAAAGATATGTAAATACAATTAACTACTATCATGTGTCTACTTAACATGCTATCATGTCAAGTTGTTCTTAACCAATTGAATATAAAACACAATACAAAATATACAATGTCTCGCAAAGATCCGCGTTTCGGCATACGACGGGTTAAGCAAAAGTTTTTGAGTGTGGAAGAGCCATGCTTCGGCACAAATGGGCCGGCTCGACCGGAGAGATACTACGGCCTCACAGAAAACCGACGCGAAATAACGTTTGCGTTGTGTTTCGTCGTGTGAGTGAGGTTACCGGAGGCCCAATTACCCTCTCCCCAATCCCTGAATCCCCAAGAATCCTCAAATTCCTAATCCCCAAAAGGCCGGTAACGCACTTGTATTGCCTCTGGTGTTCCAGGTGTCCATGGGCGACGCCGATTACTTACTATTAGGTGATCCGTCTGCGCGTTTACCGGCTTATCCCATAAAAAAACACAAAAAGCTAACACAATAAAAATTCAATCTAAAAAAGTAATGTAGGTAAATGGGGTAATTTGGGTATATCTTAAAATTATACATAACATCACGCCTTTTATCCCTGAAGGGGTAGGCGGAGGTGTACATTACAGCACTTAATGCCACTGTGCAATGTAACACTCACTTTTCCCTATTTATGTTATGAGTCCCATGTAATAGGGGGTGAGCCTATTGCCATATACCGGGCACAATTCCAGACTCCGTGCTACTACCTACTGAAAATTCTTACGTATGTGTGTAAGTATAATGTAATAATTTCTATATATTCGCAATGATTTTGCAGTTACTAAGATTATTTAATTTAATACTTGTTAATACTCAAGCGTTAAGGTGTGCTAAAAAGGCGTAAATGATAAGAAATATGAAAACAAACACTTGAGGTGATAAGTAAACGAACACAAGGTTCGAACTCCATCGATTTACGTTTATAGGTTTAATTTTAAACCAATTATCTTGAAAGGGAATTTTATTCACCGTACCTATACCCGTGTTTAATTCAGTATTCAATTCTCAAAACCGAGATGTCAATAGTCTTCGTATTTAATGCAAAGAAAGATGTGATGTTTGGTGCCACAGACATATTATTACTTATATCTGTCTTTGGTGCATTAAACAGATTTCCAATGTACTGAACTGAATTAAAATGTATGCCTGTATTTTATAGAACCAATTATGGAATTGCTTAACACTTAAATCTAGCGTTTAAATATTTTTTCCTCTTTGTTTTCATTTAATAAATGTGCCTGCATGTCTAGGTTATTGTTTCTAAATAATAAAATAAGTATTACTTACCGCTGATAGTAAAAACTGGGTTCCCGTTGACGTATGGCGACTGATCTTCGACCTTCTCTGATGGTTTGACAACATCCGGGGCTCCGACCATGCCTAGAACAAGAGAGAAACATATACCATTAGTTAATGTTACAAAATATAACATGAACATCATCAAAAACATCAGAATTTATCGAAAATTAATAGGATACGATAAAGTTAAATGTGAAAAACGGCTTGGTCAAACATAAATTAATCTGGACATGCACTTTTGGACTAAAATAGGAAGCAAGACTTGGTACCAAATTGGCTACTAAATTGTACGTCGGAGCAGGTCTATTAGAGGGCCCGGTGCTCCATATATAGGCCTCCACCTATCTCCACAATCTCCATAGTGGCCGCAGGGATCACCCTCTTACCTTTTACCTCACTAACATCAGTTAGTGAGGTAAAAATCCCCCACTCCCTAGTTCTTCTCCCCAAAAAAATAGGCATCCTTTAAAGGTTTTCCGATACGATTCAAAATTGCCCAAAAATGAAAATAAACACAAAACTTTTCTAAACATCCACTGGGTTCATTCGGTCAAAAATATTAATACAGTCGTGGCCATTAATACTTATCAAATTTTATTGTACCTCTATTTTACTTACATAGAAATGACTACACTACATACATAGTATACTATCAAATGATTAATTCGGAATTTATTATAGCACGTGACTATTCACAAAATGTGAAGGTTTTGGAAAATGGACGAGGACCTGAAACCTTGTAAGTGACACATACAATAACTCTGTTTGACCCAAATACTGGTATTTCAGTAACACCATGTCTACTTGTATCAGGTTTCTTTTAACATTTATTTGGAAGAGACTGCCTCGTTGGCCGAGTGGTCGCAAGTGCGACTGCCAAGGGCAAGGGGGTTCGATTCCCGGGTCGGGCAAAGTATTATTGGGATTTTAAAAATCTCAGTATTAACACGGTGTCTGGAAAAGTGCCCGGTATATGGCAATAGGCTCACCCCCTATTACATGGGACTCATAACATAAATAGTGAAAAGTGGGTGTTACATTGTACAGTGGTATAATGTGCACCTCTGCCTACCCCTTCGGGGATAAAAGGCGTGATGTTATGATGATGATGAGGAATAAATAATAATTTATGACATAAAAAATAGTTTCCAGGTACATAATGTAGTCATAATACGGTAAATTACAAGATTTATTATGTTTTTTTTTCTATTTCTTAATAGCATTGTTACTGTAAATAACTTAATATTATTACAGTAATGTCTATTGTTTTTCATTTTTCCTAGAAAACTAATAAGAAAAAACTATGTCAGTTGACGTAAATTAATAGGGATGATGACAGGGTATGAAAATTAAAAATGTAATTAGTCCGTCAGTTAGGTAATGAAAAATATTAGACATTTATTTTTTATTTTGTTGTATAATAAAATTATACTTAGATATAACGAATCAAAGTCTAGGAGTGGGGGCTAAAACGTCATTTCTACGTATAAAATGTACATAGAAGTGACGTCACGCGACATTTCCGTACAAAAATTAAAAATACGTGTCTGATGTTTTTAAATAATCTATCAGACGGACATTAAAATGAAAATTAGTCATCTACCCTATTATGTATATAAAATTTTATGGTAAAATACGACAAATTCCAACCAATTTCACATTATTATAATTCAGAGTGCCATAATAACATCCGTCGGTTTTCCGGTACATTATATATTTTGCCAGCACTGTATAATAACATTTCCCTATATACCGACAAACTACCACAAAATCATGTAAAAATTCTTTAATAGACTTTAAACCTTAAGTAATGGTAATACAGTTAAAAATGTTATTTGCGGTGGTGTCTAAGTAAAATTTTATGACCTAATCAATATGTATCTACTTTTACAGCACGTGAATATGACCGTAGTATTAGCCATTGTTCGAAATATCTGGGCAATGTTCACGTGGCAATTTTCTTGTGTACCTCCATAGATTGAGTCGTTATGATTGATTAGTTATCTGAGTTAAGATGCAGCAAAAAAACTAATAATTTAGACTATAACTATTTGTGCACTGTTGGTACGGTGGCTGGGCAACTGGCTGCCGGGCAACGTGTCACAGGTTCGTTATTCCCGCACGTTTGTGTTTATTGTTCCGGGTCTGGGTGTCACGTGTATGTAAATTTGTATGTTTGCAAACGCACCCACGATCCAAGATAAAATCCTAGTGTCTTTATCCCTTCTAGCTCAATAGAGTCTTTATTTGGAACATCTATTTTAATTGTAAACCACCCCTATGATTGTATACTGTACATGAAACCCTGATATTGGTAATAGGCTAGCTCCTAATAAATACATGAATGTAAATGAATTGTAGGTAGGGATATTTTTAACATACCCTTTTAGAACATTCGTGGGCAGTGTGGGGCTGCCGTCACTACACGTATTTTATATACTATAATTGGTCAAAAATCGAGTACTTGTCCATTCTATTCCATAGTCTCTGCCTACCCCCATGGGAGACAGACGTGAGGCTATGGATACATATACCTACTTATGCAGTAATTTTAGATTTTAACTGCAGGATTCTCAAGATATTTTACCTGCACCTCTAAAAATAGATTCAAGCTCAAAGTCAAGGTATTTCGTAATGTAGGTTCATAAATAGCGTTACTTGAGATGTCCTCTGTTCCTCAAGTCGGCTGGTGGATTAGGTTACAAAATGGTGTTAAGATAATCACCACAAAAGGTCATTCCTAATCATAAACGTTTTGGTTATAGATACTCGTAAATTACATCTTCGAGTCAGACCACGGATGAGGTACTTTGTCCAAAATAAATTGGCTTAATGGTCTAGTACCTATATAGTTGCTAAGTGTGAATTATCAAGCAGAGGGTCGATGTTTGCTCGAGGTTGTTAGACTAATTTAAGTTTCTCAAAAAATTTTCAGTAATACCACAAAATCTGGAATTGCGCTTATGTTTAAATATGTAGATTAAACCATGTGTTTTGAATATAATTATAGTGTGTGTATGTGTGTGTGATTATACATCGTAGATCATGGCATTAGGATCAGCCCTTATTACCTACGCTAATTGCTAGTATTAAGCTGTTTTAGTAAGATAATAAGTATTGAAATTAGTTCTAAGGTGTCATATATATATGCTTCTCTCTCTACATACATAGGTACCTTAAGAGATTAAAAAATGTGAGGACTTAAAATTTAAGATGGGTTTTTTAGAGTTGCAGTTCTTGAGGAAAATTTATGTTCAATCTTGCAACTTGTTTAGAAGGGATATATATTGGACAATGTTAAAAAAAATCAGTTAAAATATTTTTGTCATGGAAACTCCCAACGGCAGAGGAGTCAAAAGTGCATTGTAGGCTCTTTGCGGTCTTTTCTTGTAGGTTTAAAACTTGTATCGGTATATAGTATAATTTAGGTATATTTTAACAAATCATAATGAGATTCCCGCATAATGCCATGAGATCAGAACCAATCAAAAACATTGAAATCAAGAGTCAATGACATCGTTCTCATCTACTCTTGAGAAATCGTCAACATTGATTGTTACATGAATCTTGTGAGAGTATGTATGGGGAAATTTCCGATCAAACAATAACTTCTAGAAGTGTTATTGTTTCAATGGTAATAATCACGTGTGACTGTAAGTGTAACGGATTCGATTTCTGGATCAAGCAAAGTGTTATTGAAGTTTTTCGACAATTTCTCGTTTGGTGAAAGCATAGATTTTGGATTTGTGCCCTTTTTTTAAGGGGGGAAAATCATCGAATGACTGCTCCCGCCTGGGTGAGGCGGAAGGGAGTGTCAGACTCTTACTGACTAAAAACCACCCCGTTCCTTCTCCTGCACGTCGAGCCGGAGCCCCGGTTACCCGTTAGGTTCTCCGCGACAAGGATTTGTGCCCTATGTGTAGCAATAGGCTCACTGTCTATTACTAACTATTAGAGAACTGATGAAAAGTAGATCTGTCACATTATACCTATAAGTACCTAAATGTACAACACTGTTTATCTCTTCGAGGATTAAAAGGATTTATGTTATATTAGCTTCTGCCAGCGGCTTCTATCTATCTATCTATCTATCTAGCCCTGTTCCAAATTTCATCACGATCACATCGGCCATTTTGACGTGAAGAAGTAACAAACAAACAAACAAACAAACAAACTTTACTTTAGCAGGATTTATTTGCCTGGGAATAGGAAAATTTCCTATAAAACAATAACCTGCCTAACTATTATTGTTACAATAATAACCTCATTAATAACCGATATCTATTAATTGCTTTGCATCCGGAAAACCTGTTCGTTAATCACCATCGTTATATATTAACTAGAATAAACCGAGATATAACACTAATGGATGCTGAAGAGATAAAACTGTGGTGATTGGTTGAATTAAAGGTTTTTTGTAACATTGTTATTATGTTATGAACTAGCGACCCGCCCCGGCTTCGCACGGGTACAATATGCATGTATCATACATATAAACCTCCTTTAAGAATCACTATCTATTAAAAAAAACTGCATCAAAATCCGTTGCGTAGTTTTAAAGATCTAAGCATACATAGGGACAGACAGACGGCGGATAGCTACTTTGTTTTATACTATGTAGTGATGTAATCACTCATGCGTAGCGCGTATGTGTATTGCCGTGAGATAAAATGTAGCCTGTTCCAAATTGTATCTCAATCCCTTCAGCGGTTTGACGATATTTCGCCGTGTCAGTGATAGCACGGAGTCAATTGTACTCCGTATATGGTAATAGCCTTGTACAGTGGCATTAAGTGCCGTAATGTGCCTGAGGTAGGCATTCGGGGATAAAAGGCGTGATGATAAGTTATATTATTTAAAAATATCTTTGAGGACCCCAAAACCAAGAGTTCTTCTTTTTTTGTTCTTTTTTTTTAAAAAAAAACGTTGCCCCACATTAGGATTTTCTCCTGTGTCGTGGGTGCGTTTACAAACATACAAGTTCACATACACAATGATACACAGACCCGAAACAACAATTTGTGGATCACACAAAGTGTTGTTCCGTGCGGGAATCGAACCCGCGACACGTTGCACGGC